TGGGTGATTATAGGGTGTTTCATTCGCTCAATATCTGGGCGTCCTGCAGGCTTGGGCAACGTCGTACCTTTGTCTTTTTGGGCTTTCATCATATTTAATGATATTTCTGGTTGGGCTTTTACCCTGATCTCTCTCTCTGGGCTTCTTCTTTTGAGTCATTTCCTTTCTTTGGCCATTTGATTTGGGCTGCCTTTTTTGTGTGTCAACACATCTTCTACCATTCTACGAGTGCTTTCAACAAAACAGATAAAGGGTTTCTCTTAATAGATTCACTCTACATAATTTGATAGCTAATTGATTTGCTAACATAGTCTTTGGAGATTTACGAGATAGTATAGATGAAAAATAGTACTTTGACAAGATAGGCTCTTGTTTTGTGTAAACTTTAGCCCTTTCTTGCATTTTTGCCATATATCATCTTCATGACATTCTTGAGGAATCACTTTGGAAGAATCTTTGGAACCATATTTACATATGGAATTAGACAAAACAATATGTCGAACACTAGGTGTGCACATTCTGATGAACCTCCAGAAGTTATTTATCACTCATCTGTAATGTGAATCCACCAGCATGTCTCCATTATTTATAAACCTCACAAACTTCATATGTTCTTCGCCATACTCCTTCATTACTCACATTGAAAACATCTATTACTTCCAAGTTCCAACTATGATAACGTATCGCTGTAAGCTTCTTCCCTAGCACAGCCATAGACAACTCCGGTCCCCATTTTTCCAAATCATCCGGCAAATTCCACTCTTTAAACACATCGTTTGCGAATTTTAGGTGGTTTGAGGCTTTCTCTTTGTAAGTAGTTGGTTTTGGGGCTTTTTGGGGTTTTGGGTCGACTTTCGTACATATAAATTACAGTCATTAGAGGTGTTAAATTATTTTAAGTCTATTAATCTAATTGGTTCCTTTTTAGAGTATTGGCCAAATTTACTCAATTCTTATTTGGTGGTCAAATGGAGGCTTACGGATCATATCTCTTTTTAAAATAATATATTTTATTTTTCTAATTTCTCCTAACAAACGGGTGCCACCTTTGCCTCACTGTGTCTGCTAACTCTCTACCACCTTTGCCTCCTCGTATTCTTCGCATAACTATAAACCAACCAACCAACCATAATTCTCTCTCTCTTCTCTCTCTAATATTCCCTTCTCATTTTCATCTTTCTTGTCCTCCATTAGAGAAAATATACATACATGCTTAGCAATTTCTCTCTCCCGTCTCTTCCGTCGGATATCTAACGACTTGTCGCCGGAATATTATTATCGGACAGATATTTGACCCCACAATGGTCCAACGCATCCGGTTGCCTAACAAAACCCATTATTGTCCACGACCCGACCCGGATGGGTCCGGGTCTGAGCTGGCGAAGGACCTTTCATGGCCGTTCGGGAAGCTCGACGGTCTTGACAGGGATGATTTGCGGGAGGCTGCGTATGAGATTTTCTTCACGGCTTGCCGTTCGTCACCGGGGTTCGGTGGAAGGAGCGCCCTCACGTATTATAATCCCTCTGATGGAGGAGACGGAATAGGGTTGGGTTCTCCAATGAAGTCACCCGGTGTGGGAATGGTGGTGAACAGCAGGGTTAAAAGGGCGTTGGGTTTGAAAATGATGAAGCGGTCTAATCCTTCTTCCAGGCGGTCCAGCTCCTGTGGGTCTAACCCGATGTCGCCGAGTGCTGCGAGCGGGACGGTATCGAGCCCCCGCCTGGTGGCCTTCAGTACGGCGCCGCAGCCGAGGATGAGGCGACCGATGACGGCGGCCGAGATCGCCAGACAACAGATGAGGGTGACGGAGCAGATTGACAATAGGTTACGTAAAACTCTGATGAGGACCCTCGTTGGCCAAGTACGTAATAACTCTAGATGCATATTTTATTAATAATAAATGAATATATTACAGACTTTGGAGGGAATCGGCCTAATCTCGAGCTAAAAGTGCAAAAGAAATCAACTTACCGTGTCCCCAGCCATCCTTGCATTGTTGTAGAAGAAACTAAAATGGAGATTTTCTGATGAAATTATGCCTCACAGCGTGCATATAGAATGAGAAAATGGGAGCTATATATTCAAAAATCTAAAGAATATATGACTTAATACTGTTTAATTATTATTTGTTGTTGGATCAAGAATTTATGTTTACCCTTAATGAAGTTTTGGATGTAATTCTTTGATTTGTGCAGTATATTATATATTCACGAAGATAGTTAGCCAATGGCATTTGTAACTAACACTGGCTTATTAATTTGTTAAGATGGGAAGGCGTGCAGAGACGATAATTCTTCCTCTAGAGCTACTACGCCACCTAAAACCATCTGAATTTAACGATTCTCATGAATATCATTTGTGGCAGAAGCGTCAGCTTAAAATCCTCGACGCTGGACTTCTAATACAGCCTGCAATTCCAATTGACAAATCTAACAAATTTGCTACGAAATTAAGAGATATAATTCAGGCTTCTGAGATGAAGGCAATAGACACAGGAAAGAATTCAGAAACCATGAAATCGCTATGCAATTGTGTTATGTCCTTAGCTTGGAGAAGCCCTGACGGCTCCCCTACAGATGTGTGCCATTGGGCCGATGGCTACCCTCTAAATGTTCATGTCTATATTGCCCTCCTTTACTCGATTTTCGACATAAAGGATGAAACATTAGTCGTTGATGAAGTCGATGAATTGCTTGAGCTTATGAAGAAAACATGGTCTACATTGGGAATCAATAGATCAATACATAATTTGTGTTTCACTTGGGTGTTGTTTGAGCAATATATCATGACAGAACAGATGGAGTCAGATCTACTAAGTGCATCCCTTGCTATGTTAACAGAAGTAGCAAATGATGCTAAGAAAGTTGACAGAGAACCTATGTATGTGAAAATGTTGGCTTCTGTATTGACTGAAATGAAGAGGTGGTTGGAGCAGAGATTGCTGGATTACCATGGAAATTTTGAAAGAGGATCAGTCGGGATAATGGAAAACATTCTTCCCTTAGTTTTCTTGGCTACCAAGATTTTAGAAGATGTCCCTGGATATATTTCAGAAGCACAACTAGAAAAGGGAGAAGTGACTAAGGACTCGGATGGAAATAGGATAGATCGCTATATCCGATCTTCGTTGAGGAATGCATTTGCCAAGGTTTGTATAATTTAAAATATGAGTCCATTGGTGAAGGCTAAACTTTTTGTAAAATTCATGTTGGTCATCACTATACTTCATTTTTGTTCAAGTTTGTCATAGAACTTAACCTTTGTTTCAAGTTAGTCATTATGTCCGTTTCGAGGAATTTGACAAAGAAAAAAGAAGGCATGGTAGTCTGGTTATTTGCCAACTATGTGGTCAAACCATGAACATGGACACAATGATCAAATTGTAACAAAAGTTCACCTTCAGTGACCATCTGGGAATGAAGTCAAAGTTCAATGACCCAACCTGGAAAAAAAAATGAAGTGCAGTGAACGACGTGAAGCTTTGCTACAAGTTCAGTGACCTCTGGTGTTTTAACCCTTGAGAATACACAACTTTTTCTGATATCTTTGTTGATGCTGACATATTGTTATGATTAAAAGATGCTTGATGAGCAGTGTGTGAATTATGAAGCTCTCGAAGCACAAGAAGTGTGCCAGGTTCTCATTAATTTAGCTAACAAAACCGAAGAATTGGCTGTAAAGGAAAAGGAAATATTCAGTCATGTTCTCAAGAAATGGCACCCTATTGCAGCTGGAGTTGCTGCAGTGACTCTGCACTCTTGCTATGGAACTTTGTTGAAGCAGTATCTAACTGGGACACCCTTGCTCACGAACGAAACAATCTCGATATTGCAGAGAGCAGGGAGGCTCGAGAAGTTGTTGATTCAGATGGTGGTTGAGGACTCGGGGGAATGTGAAGATGGAGGGAAAGCTATTGTAAGAGAGATGGTTCCTTATGAAGTAGATTCAATCCTTTTACGGTTAATGAAACACTGGATTCATGAAAGGTCGAAGAAAGGAAAGGAGTTTTTCCAGAGATCAAAAGACACAGAAGTAAGCATACAATAAGTTAGTTGTAAGCATAATTTAGCCTGTAAATGCATTTTAGCACTGGAGCAAATAAGTAACTGTTTGTTTGAAATTTTGTCTAGACATGGAATCCGAAGTCCAAAACCGAGCCATATGCACATTCAGCAGTAGACCTGATCAAATTTTCCAAGGAAACAGTGGAGAACTTCTTCGAAATTCCAGTTAACAAATCAGAAAATTTAATTTTTGATCTTGCTGATGGCTTGGAGCATATCTTCAAAGAATACATTACATTTGTCGCATCATGTGGTAAGAACTAACCCTTCAAATTCATTGCATGTTTGATACGTATTACTAGACATAACTAGATAGTATGGTGACAAGATATTAACTATTTTTTCATCTTCTTTGATATTGTCCAGTAGTGCTCAATTCACTTTACCAAACACAGCATCATAGTTTTATTTGGAATAAAGGTGTACTAGTTAGAGTTTGCTTTCAAATTTGACATCTAAAGATATTCTTTTGCACAATCCAAGTCTAAACTTTATTTGACAAGATAATTACTTGATCTTTCATTTCTTTTACAGGATCAAAGCAGAGTTATCTCCCTACACTTCCTCCTCTAACACGATGTAGTCAGAACTCGAAATTCATCAAACTGTGGAAAAGAGCAGCATGCAGTGTTGGAGTAGAAGATCCGAACCAAAACAATACAGATGATGGAAATCACCCACGCCCTTCAACTAGCCGTGGAACACAACGCCTTTACATTCGGCTTAACACCTTACATTACCTTCAGTCTCAGCTCCACTCACTCGACAAAACATTATCCCTCTCCTCGAAGGTCACTCCATCACCCCAAAACCAGCTAAATAACAGAAGTAGACAACTTAGCCGTTCCTATTTTGAACATAGCCGATCATCTATACAAGTATCCTTTCAGCATGTGTCAGAAGTTGCTGCCTATCGTTTAATATTCCTCGACTCAAACTCTGTCTTCTTTGGAAGTCTATTTGTTGGTGATGTAACAAACTCACGCATTAGGCCAGCATTAAGAATACTCAAGCAGAATCTTACTCTTTTGTGTGCAATAGTTACTGATCGTGCTCAACCACTCGCACTAAAAGAAGTAATGAAGGCATCTTTTGAGGCCTACCTTATGGTTTTGCTAGCAGGGGGAAGCTCTAGAATCTTTTCAATGTTTGATCACCCAATGATCGAGGAAGACTTTGATCATTTGAAACGCGTGTTTTATACGTGTGGAGAAACTTTGATAGTCGAGGATGTGGTGGAAAGGGAGGCTGAGACGGTGGAAGGTGTCATAGCATTGATGGGCCAGTCGACTGAGCAATTAATCGAAGATTTCAGCATTGTGGCTTGTGAAGCCAGTGGAATAGGTGTTGTTGGTGTAGGGCAGAAGCTGCCTATGCCTCCGACTACTGGAAAATGGAATCAATCAGATCCTAATACGATACTGAGGATTCTTTGCTATAGGAATGATCGAGCTGCTAATCATTTCTTGAAGAGAACATTCCAATTAGCAAAGAGAAGGGGGTGAGAGTCATTCAAGATTGCAAATTTGCAAGGTATGAATTTGAAACTAACAGAACTAATTGAGCTCTTTTGATAATTGTGAAAAAATGTTTGGTTTAAAGTTTGATGAAGAATGTAAAGAAAATTGCTTTATAACTTTTCTCATAGTATATAAATTTAGTAATATTCAAAGATAAAGCTGGTGATTTGAGAGCACTTGGACTATGTTTTTGGTGGGAAAAGCAAAATTTGATTTTTTTTCGCCTTATCATTTGTACATCTTGGGTGATCTACTGTTCAGACAGATACTTAGAATGTATATTTTCTCAAGTTCACTAATTGTAATTGTTGAGATTTGAGACATTACTTGAAACGTCCTAGGAAAACTCTACGCAGATTTCATTATTTGGTTTTCATTTACAACAACAAACTAAATTTCGTTCCTGGTAGCTTTGGATTGGATGTAAAATTCTTTCCCGGAGCTCTTTTCGTCTCATTTCTAAATCTATCGGTGATATTTTTCATCTATTCCAATTAACAACGAATGGAAACAGAAAAGATCCCAATATTCTGGACATTTTATTAATATCCCTTTTAACACGAGATCTTAGAAACATATACACAATGTATCAAAATTTAATTCATATTAGCAAATAATCATATTTAAACCAAGTTATATCTATTAATAATAGCCAGAGGTACATAAACCAGCAAATAATTGATTCCTGATCAACCTAGGCCTTCAATGTACCCTTACTTCAGCTATTCACCTTGTCATCATTTGATGCCTCAGAAATTGTTCCCACCAAAAATGGTTTTCTACATTCTTTCTCATGGTAGATAGCTAGGATTCTTGTTTAAATCCTTAATTAATCCCCGTGAGCTGCTAGTTCCACGTGGCTCTTCGACTTCAAGCCCTCGAGTTCTTCTTTAAGCACTTCCATTGAGTTGGAGACTTCATCCTTATATCGATACAACTTTGCAATTAGTAAGAAGACGATAGAATTCAAGAAACTCAGCACTGCAAGAAATGCAAAGTATCGATCAAGTCGAGAGGCATTAAGGTTATTTTGTATCCATCCTTTGTGACCATTCTCCTTGGTGATGTGAGAAACAGTCGAAAGAATAAAACTGCTGAGGAAGTTCCCAATTCCCACACTAGTCGTCGAATATGAAGTTCCGAGACTTTTCATGCTCTCGGGTGCCTGATCGTAGAAAAACTCAATCTTGGCCGCTTCTGCATATGCATCAGCCACTCCCATGAGTATAAATTGGGGAAGCAAAATAAATATTGTCAATGGAACCTGTCCTCCACTTTCGACTAGGTCATTTTTTTTGGCTACAATGAGCCGGTGCTTTTCAGTTACCGAGGCTATTACCATAATGACAATGTGAAGCACAAAACCAATCCCTAGTCTCTGAAGGAGAGCAATGCCTCTCGGGTTTTTAGTCCACCTTCGAATAGTCTTGACAAATACGCGATCATAAATTATGACACAGACGAGCATGGTTATCGTCACAAATGCGCCTAAACTGGCAGGGGGAAGTTTGAGATGCCCCATGCTTTTGTCTAGGGTGGCGCTTTGCTTGATGAACAGTGTTGCTTTGAGCCACCATAACACTTGGAAGGAATGTGGTGATTAATATTGGTAGCATTCGCAGCATTTGTTTTATTTCCTCAACTTCAGTGACTGAGCATAGCATCCATGGACTATTGGAATTAGTTTGTACACAAGCTTTATTTAGAAACCTGCATCAAAATTGCACAGTGTTCATTTATTTGTGATATTTAACATAGCTATATAACAAATGACAATACAGACATTAAGGTGGGCGTGGGTTCAAATTTGAATTTTCCTTTCTTGGTGTACTCTTCTATATCAAATTCATATAATTTATTGGGATCTTCAGGGATGGATACTCCCCATTTCCTTATAGAAGCCACTATAACTCGGGCCATTTGTGTAAATGGGCTCCCATCGGGCTTCTTATGCCTGTAGAAGGGAGTTCCGACCAAGAAAACCAAAGGGAACAATAGTAACTCCTAGTTTTAAAGATCACAT